CACCCAGGGAACCCTCCACTGGGCCCCCCCCGGCCCCCACCTCCAGCTTGCCGGGGAAGAGACTCTCGAACTTCTTCTGCAGGCTGAAGGTGAAGGTGAGCCAGCCCATGTTGGAGGCCTCGCGGCCCTGCCAGAAGTACACCACGCACTGGAAGTCCTCCTCGGGGGACTTCTCCTCCTCCTCTGCCTCGCCCGGCCCCTCGCCCTTTTTCTTCTCCTCGTCTGCTTCGTACTCCACCGGCACCCAGTACCTGGGGGACGCCGCCGGCGCGCCGGTGATGCGGGGGCGGGGGGCATGCAAGCTGCCCCCACCAACCCCCATGGTCCCACCAGTTCAAATGCTGCCCCTGCCAGCCTTCACAGGGCCCCCGCCAGCTCTGCACCGTGCCAGCTAGAGGGCTGGGCAGGAAGCGAGGGCTCAGACGACCCAACCCGGGGCGGTACCTGCACAGGAAGACGTAGCAGTCCTGGGTGTGGAAGTGCCCAAACTCCTCCTCGGGCAGGCGGGCGAACTTCTTGCCCTCCAGGACGAAGCCCTCCATGCCATCCAGGTCCTCGTTCCACTCCTCCATCAGCTGCTCCGCCTGCCCCCGCCCCCGGGGACACAAGGACAGTGAAGGAGAGCTGGGCTGCTGGGCACTGTGCCCGCCGGGCCCCTGACTCCCACGTCCCGCCAAGCCTGCCCCCACCTACCCCATGCCCCGGAGCCTGATGGGGCCCAGCTTCCCTGGCCAGGTGGCACTGGCAATACCCAGCCACGGAGACTGGGATGCAGAAGTCCCAGGGCGCCCTCCCCAACCCGAACCAGACGGCAGCGGGGTGGGGGCGAGCCCCAGGTTGCTACATGTCTCCATCACAGGCTCCAGAGGGTGCGCGGGGTGACAGCCCTGCTCGCAGAACCCACGAGGCCCGGACCCCCGACCGTACCTCCGTCAGGGCCATGGGGGGCTGCCGGGGCAGGAACAGGGCTGTGAGGTCGGCCTTCATCTGGTCCTTCTTCTCGGCATCCTTCTTCACCTTGCCGGCTAGCCCCTCGGCCTGCAGCACGGTCTCGGCACTGCGGGTGTAATCCACCTTGAGCACGTCATCCCAGTTCTTGAACTTGGACTTGAACACCTGCAAGGCGGGGGGGTGAGAAACCAGGCACCTCAGCTTGCCTCCCGCGGGGCAGCTCCAGCGGGGGCAGAGGGGAGGCTGGGAATGAGACCCGCCTGGGTCCCAAGCCCGCCCGGCCCTACCTGGCACTCGGTGCCCTCGAGGTTGCGGGTGACGATGGCGTGCTTGGGGCGGTGCAGCATGCCACAGAGCTCCTGGCCCAGCTTCAGGGCCGCGGCCCGCACCAGGCGCGGGGACTTCCGGCCGATCCAGATGAAGACATCCGACCAACAGTCCAGGATGTACACGGAGCGCGTGTCCAGCAGGCTCTGCAGCTGCGGGGGGAGCAGGAGAGCGGCTCGCAAGGGTGTGGGGTCCCTACCCTGACCCCCTGAGGGACAGCCCCTGCCTAACTTGAGGGGGTGCCACGGAGGTGCGCGGGGGGGTGGTTCTCCCACCACGCAAGGAGTTGTTTGCATCTGGGGCCATTTCCACACCCCCCTGGGGGCTCTCAGGAGCCAGGGCAGGGAGAGGGGGCAGTAGAAACCCCCTCGATGCCCCCTTTGCGCCCTCCCCTATCCACCCAGTCCTACCAGGCGCATCTCCGGCAGCAGCTCCACCTTCAGACGCTGTTTGTGCTCCACCGAGAGCTTGTAGTTGATTTGGGGCAGCTCCAGGTAGCCCAGCCCCAGGCCGACCTGCGCCAGGGTGACAGGAGATGATGGGCGGGTGAGGGGGGTAGGGGGCACCCCCAGGGCGGGGGTAGGGACTGTCCTACCTTATACAGCTTGGGCTTGGGTGGCTGGAAGTCGTCTGGGACGTTGGGCTTGATCTCTGGGGGGGGCCCCCCCAGCACCTCCCAGAAGGCGGGCTCCTCCTGGCCCTGGCTCAGCAGCATGATCTCCGCCTTGCCCTTGCGCTCGTTCTTGTTGATCTTCTCGGCGAAGAGCCTGCGAGGGGGAGCAGCCGGGGACGGTAAGAGGCAGGGAGCCCTGGCCCTGGCACAAGGCGCTTGGGCATAGCCGTGGGCCAGAGGGACACGGACCCTGGCTCCCCCCAGCCCCAGGGCAGCAGGAGCGACTTCGGGTCCGCACGTGCCCCACCCCCAGCTCACCTGGCCTTGGTGGTGCCGCTCAGGGTGGCCTGGCCCCCGCGCCACACGTAGAGGTTGAGGCCGTGGTCCAGCAGGAAGACGAACCTGGAGATGCAGAGGAGCGGGGGGCGGGGGTGAGAGGCGCAGCGCTGGGACCCCAACCCACCCCACCCCGCCTGCCCCCGCACTCACCGCGGGTCCAGCGACGTGCCCTTCAGTGGCACCGGCTCCAGCTTGATGTTCTTCTTTCCATAGACACGATACAGCCTGCAGCGACACGGGCAGGTGAGCAGGGCCCAGAGCACCTCAGCCTCGGGAGCCCCCCAGAGCCCCCGCAGGCGCAACGGCGCTGGCCGTCTAGGCAGGGAGCCCGCGGCTCCAGCTCCGGCCTCGCGCGGGGACCCTCACCCCGCTGCCCTGCCACCGCCCGGGGAGGGGTCGGCCCTGCTGCCCGAGCAGCCCTGCCGCTACCTGGTGAGGTAGTGGGTGTCGTCGACAGTGAAGAAGCCGCTGGCTGAGCCCCCCTCGATGTAGGAGATCTCGTGGTCAAACACCTGAGGGCAGTGACCAGGGATCAGCCTGGGGCAGAGGGATAGTGCAGGGGTGGGGGGCTCCCTGTTCCCCCAGGGCAGAGCTGGAAGCCCACCCTGAGCCCGAAAGCCCCTGGATCAGACGCACACGGGAGCTGCACAGCCTCACCCCCTTCCCCGTGCCCCCAACGCCGAGGGCAGCCTCAGGCACAGGCGGGGAGCGGGTCTCGAACTCGTGCGTCCGATGGCGGCGCGGCACAGCGCGGCGGGGAAGGCTGGGGGCAGAGGGGGGAGCCGGGCGGGCAGTACCTGGCTGAATTCGTCGCTCTCATCGCCCATCTCCTCGCGCACACTGCGGCACTGGGCACCCAGGTAGTTGCGCAGGTTGACGGCGTGGATGGCGGAGCAGGCTTTCTTGTCCAGCGTGGCCTCCTGCCCGATCCAGTAGTAAATCTCCCAGCTCAGCGAGCCATTATCGTCCAGGGAGGTCTGGGGGAGACGGAGGTCGGGTCTCAGTGCCTCACTCCCCAGGGCGCAGGGGCAGCGCGGGAGGTGATGGGGAAGCCTCGGCCGGCTGCAGCAAGCCTGGGTCCCACAACCAGCCCTCAAAGAGAGAGAGGCCCAGTGCGCAAACCACGGAGGGAAGCCAGGACACCCGGGTGCTACGTGCAGCCCAGAAAGAGCACGTCCTAACGCCCAGCAGGCAGGACACTGGGTTGTATCCTCAGCCCCGTCCGTGGCTCACCGCGTGACCTGGGCCAGTCCCTTCCCCCAGGGGTCTGCACCGCCCCACCAGTGCCCGTGGCGGGCTCAGGGATGGCGGGGGGCCGTCACCTTGAGCACGATGTAGCAGTCGGCCTCGTAGAACTTGCCGTGGAAAGCCTCGTCCACCGGGGTGGGCACGAAGTTCTCGATCTGCCAGACGGACACGCCCGGGATCTGCCCCACGTCCTCCGTGAAGAACTCCGAGTAGTCCAGGTGCGGCTTCTCCAGGCTCTGGTCCCAGCGTCGCGTCTTCATATCCGGGGACTTCGTGTCCTCGTGCTCCTGGCGGGGGAGGGCGGGGGGCTGTGATGGACACCAGAGGCGGAGGACCCCTCCCCCTCAGCTGGCTGGCCATGTCGGGGGGGGGGGG